GAGTTTTTCCTACTCCATTTTAATTAACCCTCTTTCCCAACTTCCTTCTCCCCACTGCCTCTGCTTCTCGTCTATGCTCAAGTCTTTCTATTCCCAGCATCAAAATAACCTCCCTCTAGTTCCATATTACTTAAATTCTACTATTGCAGCTCCTTTAAGGCACCTAATACTTAATGATCTCTTTCTAGTTTCCTGTTTTTTTATAGGAACTTTACATTCAATTGAAGATAGAATCCATGTATGATGATGAACATGAGATGTTTGTTTCTCAGTGTCTGTGTCCATCCATTTGCTTGCAAATTCCACAGTGTCACATATTTTTTACTTCTGGATAAACTTTCATTGCTTATGTTTACCACATTTCCATTGTCCATTCACTTGTTGGATATCTAAGCTGATTCCTAGCTGTTGTTAATAGAGCAGCAATCAAAATGAATGACATGACTCATATCTCTGTAAAAGAACATAGAGACTTGGGTATTCTCCTGAAGCAAGATATGGTCTATAATCACTCCCAGTCTCCTATCATTAATTTTGGTTTAGCTGCAACATATGTCATATGCGTTGCTTTCTCGTGATATATAGAACTTTGGGAAAAGTAAATGAAGTGTAATTTCCCTGTAGTAATTATGGATGCACTTCAGTTTTTCATCTTAATTTTGTTTTTAAATAAGCAAATTAATATAAAATAACATATTAAGAATTTTTAGTTTTGGTAGGCTTATACAAAAATAACATGATTCAGTGTCTATTGGTTAGAGGACTGTGGTGATCACACTCTCCTTTTATTAAGAAGTGTGATTTTTTAAAAATCTTTCTTCATTCTTTCTTAAAGGAAGCAGGTAAAACCTTGTAGTGGGATTTAGATGTCCTCAAGTGATATTTAAAGGACAACAGAAGGAAATGAGTTGATGGTGTACAACAACCATATCTGTAGTTGATATATTCCTCAAAAAATGAAGAAGTGGAGATGATTTTCTTGTCTTTGTCTGACTCTGTCTCTCTCCATGAAGTACACACACACACACAAGCATACATACATACATACATGCATAATGTGATAGATTATTTAGATGTTTAAATTAAATACATACATGATACTATTAATTTTCCATAAATCCCTTTATTCCTTTTTAAAGGATTTCATTTCCACATATTCATAATATTTAAAGTCACTTTTTGATCCAAGTTGCTGTAAAATTTCTCTCTTACAAAGATTTTGTTTCAAATAAACTGTAAAACTCTACATTTTGGCAGAAAAGTAACTTCTCTCAGGTAACAGCAAATGCATGACTTGTTGCAATATTTTCCAGTGATTGTCTTAAATTAAAAACCTCTTTTAGCTTTTAATTTTGAGCAGTCAGCAGATTGTGCCAGCTAAAGATGGCACTGTTACCATGGAATACCTTTATGATATCACTAAGAGATGGTTTTTAACCTTTGCAATTACACAGAAAATGCACTTACCAGACTAAATTAAACATCACACAGAAATTTGATTAATATTGTATATTCTATTAGTGATACTTCCCTAGTGGATAAGTAGTCAAGGACTGGATGTCAGAAGAAATTCTACATATTAGAATGAAAATCACATATTGATAGAAAATAATGTATTTTGTGAAATTCCTTGGATGTGAAATTCCTTGGATAACCGCCCAGCTGTGGATTGTTTTAAAATATATCCATATTTACTCCTAGTATTAAAGTTGCTTTAAACAAATTTCTCACTTTAAAGAATGTTGTCTTAGACAGGCGGTGGTGGCGCACGCCTTTAATCCCAGCACTCGGGAGGCAGAGGCAGGCGGATCGCTGTGAGTTCGAGGGCGGGCTGGACCGACAGCCTCCAAAACAATACAGAGAAACCCTGTCTCGTAAAAACAAAAAAACAAAACAAAACAATAAAAAATAATGTTGTCTTTTCCTACACAAATATAAAGCTCAGAACTCTGCTTTTGGGAAGTAAATAATATTCACCTGAATGTTGGATGGTGTTTAAATCACTTTCTACCTACCAAGTATATTTAAATAGTAGCATACATATTATATTATCCAGTGCCATCAGTTATAACATTCCATTAAGTATGTTTCCTAATCAATATTTTGTTGGAGTCTGTCTTTCTCCATCAAAAACTTCAAACAAGATCTGAAAACCATTTTCTTTTCCAGATGTATGTGTTTGTTTACATTTTCACCCTATAGGATTTCATAAAACTTTAGAGAAAAACGTGCTTGTGCACAGAGATAAGCACTGGAAAAGCCAAAAAAAGTTAAAATCACAGTTGAGCTCTCCAAATGAAGACAATACTTGTGTGTTTTAGAATGCTGGAGGAAAATGGAGTTTACAACCTGGTAATCCTTTTCTACGTGCTGATCCATGCTCTTTCCATATCACCCAGAATATGATGTTTGTTTGTTCCAGACCCACCCACCTAAAACTTTGAGCACTGCTTCTAAGCTATAAAATAGTTGAACAGATGTCCTTGTTGTGTGAATGTGCATCCTTTGCGTATATGCCTGAGAGTAGAATTGCTTGATCTTGAAGTAGACTGGTTTCCATTTTCCAGGATGCTTTGATTTTCGATTATATACTTTTAGCATCTTTGTCAAAGATCAGGTGTTCATAGATGAGTGGGTTAATATCAGGGTCTTCAATTTGATTCAATTGGTCTACATGAGAATTTTGTGCCAATAGAAAGCTGTTTTCATTACTATAGCTCTAAAGTAGACCTTGAAGTCAGGTATGGTGATACTTCCTTAAGTTCTTTTAATGTACAGGGTTATTTTGGCTATCCTGGGTCTTTTGTTTGTCCATATAAAGTTGAAAATTGTCCTTTCAAGGTCTGTGAAGAATTGTGCTGGGATTTAGGAATTGCATTGAATCTGTGGATTGTTTTTGGTAAGACTGCTATTTTTATAAGTATTTCATATATGAATACTGCTTTTATACTATTACCAACACTTCTGCCAATCCCCATCTCCTCCCATATATTTCTATTTCCTTTGAAATTCATGAACTCTTCTTAAAGCATTATTATTTTGCAAACACACACACACACACACATGAGACATAGGTGCCTCCTGCACGCTCTATCAACATTCTTACAGGAGAAGGGGAAGCTTTGACATTTCCCTAAACATGACCTGGGGAAGGCATTGCCATTCCCGTGGGTCTGAGGCATTGGAGTCCTAGTCATGGCTGTATTCATTTCAACAAATCACATTTACTTTGGAATTCATCCACTGCCCTTGCCGGGCATTTTCAAAAGACCATAAATTCCCTGTATATGGGGTAGCACTTAGAATGTTATTGCCTTAGTTATGAGTGAAGAACTAGGCCTCCATGAAACACTGTTCCAGGATTTCTACATATCTTAAAGGAAGACTACAAAGGACCAGTGTCTAAGTTGTTTAATTGAATTCTATAACAAAACTCAAGAATATTTGTGAGAATCCAGCACTATACAAGGTCCTTCATGATGTCTGTTGCCTAATAAAATTTGTCTAATCATGGAGAAAGTGGAATGTTGCCTCCTAATGAGAACAGTCAATCCTTCAAAGTGACAGATGTAGAACTCAAGCAAATGCTGATAGAGTAGAGCACTCAAAATCAGCTAAAGTAGGGTACATATGCTTAAAATTTAAGGTGACATCTACAATAAAAAAGAAAATATCCCAAACTTAACTTCTAGATGGAAAAAAATACAGTATCTGGCATTGAGAGCCCATTAGATTTTAAAAGATTTGCCAAAGGAAAGATAAGCCAATTTAAAGATAGCATTACAAATCTGAAATAAACAGAGAGAATGACCTCTTAAATGAATAGGTCACCAGGGATCTGTGTAAAACTTGCAAGCATCTAAACATACATGCAAGCAGAGCCTCAAAAAAGGAAAATTAGGCAGAAAACATTAGTTTTGAAAATTTTCTAAATTTAATGAAAATTATATACTGGTAGATTGAAGGGCACAGTAAGCCAAAGGATAAAGAACAATGAAAATCACACCAAAGCAAATCAAAACTAACTTATTTAAATTTAACAAATGAAAAAAGTACTTAAAAGCATCCAAAGAATATGTATATGTTATGTTCAGAACAATTAAATTAAGTACAGCAGCTGGTTTACTTTCAGAAACAATGTTAGTGTTTCTGAACAGTTCAGCAGTTAAAATGTTGGCTGTCAAGCCTGATGACCTGTGTTCTATCTCTGGGACTCACACAATAGAATGATAGAACTGACTCCAGAACGTTGTCCTCTGAACTTTACATGTATGTGCCCTCCCCACAAAAATGTGACTTTTTAAAAAAGTGTAAAAAACAATGCAAGAGAATAACTAGGTAGAAGCACCTTAAAAGTATTGATGAGGGAGAAATTTAACCTAAAATCTTCCTTTATTCTTTCCTTCCTTCTTCCTTCCCTCCCTCCCTCTTTCCCTCCCTCTCTCTCTCTCTCTCCTCTCTCTTCCTCCCTCCCACCTTCCTTATTCCCTTCTTCCTCTCTTCCCTTTGTGTTCAGTGTTAGGGATGCATCTCTGGTCTTGTGCTGGCTATATTGTCATTCTACCATTCTGTTGCATCCTCAGACCTCAGCTTAGAGCTCTATAGTCAGTGAAATTAACCTTCTGTTGTAAAGACAAACTATTGACACTTTATAAGACAGAGTCTAAACAAATATATTGTCAGGGTCCTGGAACATAAAAACTGGAAATGTACCCTCTGGGTAGAAGAAAAATGCCTTTGACCTTTGCTATCATCTCCATATACCCTATGAGTTGAACAATGATGATGCCCTTATCTGGGCCAAAATATGGAGGAAAAGCTCAAAACAAGGGCCTGGTCCTTAGTTAAACAAGAGGAGCTACCTCTACAGTCCAGACTTGGAAAGTGATCTAGACACACAAATAAAAGACAATTTTCAGTTCATTTGTATTTATTGATTTGACAAGTGCATGCCAAATAGAAACAACTGTTCATTCTCCATTTCTTTTTTCTTTTTTCAGATGCGGATAGGCATTCACTCAGGCTCTGTGCTAGCTGGTGTGGTTGGAGTGAGAATGCCACGATACTGTCTTTTCGGGAACAATGTCACTCTGGCAAGCAAATTTGAATCAGGAAGTCATCCTCGGCGCATCAATGTCAGCCCAACTACTTACCAGTAAGTGTTCTCTAATTGTTTCCTCTTCTCACTTGCATTGACTTGACAAGATATCCTCTCATCTGTGTGCCCCTGTGCCTTTTCTTGATTCTGTCAATTCTCAAGAAATTATGAGTGTTTTCACCCAGTTTGAAATATAGTAACAGTAACATAAATTTTGCTGATCCCCTGATAAAGAGGGTAGGAAATTTGAGTTAACTGAGAGATAAGTAGGTTTTCACTTTCCACAGTCTGGATCCTTCTGTGGTATAACTGCTTTAAATACAGAAGAACAAATGTTAGGGGTCTTCAGTCAGCATAGCAGTGCAAATCCTAATGTTTTTAAAATGCTTCTCATAGTTTGAAAGAAAGAGAGAGACTGAAAGAAAGAAAGAAGAAAGAAAGAAAGAAAGAGGAGTAAGAAAACATAGTTCATTTGTGTTTATCATTGAATTAGGAGTACAAAAACCCTGAAATTAAATTCACATAATAAAATCTGAATTCTATTTACATTTATGTCCTTTTTGGGTGGTGCTATACATTTTTTTCCTAATCAACCCATTCCTATTTTGAGCTCAATAGATTTCACTTTCCATAGTAACTATTAAATTTCATGCAGGCGCCGGGTGGTGGTGGCGCACGCCTTTAATCCCAGCACTCGGGAGGCAGAGGCAGGCAGATCTCTGTGAGTTCCAGGCCAGGCTGGACCGATAGCCTCCAAAACAATACAGAGAAACCCTGTCTTGTAAAAAAAAAAAGCTAAAAAAAAAATTCATGCAGGCCAAGTGTGTTTGGGTTTGGCCCATCATTATCCACTCAGAAATTGATAAAAATGCTTTTGCATTTAGTTCACCCCAGATATAATTTATTTAGGATCTTCAAATAATTGAAATAAATAGTTTCATAACAAGATCCTGTCACTGGTTTATTATCTTGTTTGTTTCAGTTATTTTATATAAAAATGAATAAAATACACTGATTTAAGGTGAAAGCATCCCAACCTTTCACTATGATGAACATTCATATAAATTTGTGTGTTGTTTCCAAATCCAAATTTTAGAAATCGGCTTTCTACAGATATATATTATTCAAGGAATAAAATTTTATTTTATGTTGTTTAATATATGTAGGTGTTATTTTCTTGCAACACCTCAATAAATTTGGTTTCTTTTAAGCAAAGTTCCAAAGTTCCATGTTTTTAGAATCTATCTAGAGTAAAGTATATAGTTTGAATGCATTATTCCGTTTCCTTTTGATATGTGAAACATGACATTCATAAGAATATGTCTCTCATTTAATGAGTTTTGTTTTCTACAAAACTTGTGCTCCAAATGGTATTGTTTTGCTAACCGTTTAAAAAGTTAAACTGCAACAATGTGGTGGTGGTATACACTTTTATTCCCAGCACATGGGAGGGAGAAGAGGTATATACATATATATACATATATATATATATATGTGTGTGTGTGTGTGTGTGTGTGTGTGTGTGTGTGTGTGTGTGTGTGTGTGTGTGTGTTTGAGACCTGCCAAATCTACAGAGTGAGATCCAGGACATCTAGGGCTACACAAAGAAACCTGTCTTCAACAAAAACATAAACAAAAGATTAACTGTTTTATGTTTTATATCATATGATAAGTGTATTTGCTAAAGTTTTTCTGCTAAGGAGTATCATTTTTTGTTACTTTTTTCCAATTTTTTATTTCATTTTATATTCCAACCACACTTATCCTTCCCAATCCTCCTTACATTCCTACTTGCCTCCTCCCTCCCACTCTCACCTCCCCACTAGCCCACCCCCACTCTCTGCTCACAGTAGGGGCTCCCAAATGTCTCCCACATACAGAGAGCCTAGTTCAGGCCCCTGGAGTCTCTACAGCTGTAGGTCTAGAGTTCATGAGTCTTCACAAGCTTGGTCCAGCTGTCTCTGTCGAATTCTCCATCATGATCTTGACCTTTCTTCCTCATATATTTTCTCTTCTGTCTCTTTGCCTGGATTCCCAAGCTTGGCCTGCATCTTGGTTATTGATTTCTGCATCTGATTCCATCAATTATAGTATGAAGACTCTATGATGATAGTAGGGGTATTCAGTCATCTGGATACAGGGGTAGGCATCCTCTCTGATACTATTAGCAGTCTTAGCTGGGTTCCCCTTGTGGATTCTTGAGAGTTATCCTAGCACCCTTTTCCCTAAGCCCGTAGTGGCTCTCTCTCTCTATTAAGATATCTCTGTCATTGTTCTTCCACTACATCCTTCCCTGCCTTAAACATCTCTTTCCCTCCTGTTTTCATTCTCCCTCTTCTCCCTCTTACCACCTGCCTACCTCCAGTTTGCCCCATAGATTTCATCTAATTACCCTCCCATGGGGATCCATTCAACACTCTCAGGGTCTTCCTTGTCACCTAGATTTTCTGGAGCTGTGGATTGTACTCTGGTTATCCTTTGCTTTACATCTAATATCCACTTATGAGTAAATACATACATTTTTGTCTTTTGAGTCTGGGTTACCTGACTCAGGATGATTTCTTCTAGTTCCATCCATTTGGCTGAAAATTCCATGAGATTGTCCTTTTTTACTACTGGGCAGTATTCCATTGTGTAAATGTACCACATTTTCCATATCCTTTCTTCAGTTGAGGGGCATCCACACTGATTACTGGTTCTGGATCTTATGAATAATGCTGCTATGAACAATTTTGAGCAAATATCCATGTGGTATGATTGAGCATCCTTTGTGTAAATACCCAAGAAAGGTATCACTGGGTCTTGAGGTAGATTGATTCCCAATTTTCTGAAAACCAATAAAAAATATCCAAATGTTTGCACTCCCACAACAGTGGAGGAGTGTTCCCCTGACTCCACATCCTCTCCAATATAAGCTGTCCTCAATATTTTTCATCTTAGCCATTCTGGATGGTGTAAGATGGTATCTCAGAGTAATTTGGATTTGCATTTCCTTAATGACTTAGGATTTTTGTAGGCTGTCATTTTGTCTTATTTTACCTGTCCTTTGCCTTGCATACACTTCTCAGTTTCAGGAAGTTCCATTTATTCACAGTTGCTTTCAGTATCTGGCTACAGATATTATATTTAGGAAATGGTATCCTGTGTGTTACTTCCCACTTTTTCTTATATAAAGTTCAATGTATAAAGGTCCTTAATCAGCTTGGATTTGAGTTTTTTGCATGTCAATAGATAAGGAACTATTTGCAATCATCTAAATATTAACATCTAGTTATTCCAGCATCATTTGTTAAGGAGACTTTCCTTTTTCCATTATAACATTTTGACTTCTTTGTCAAAAATCTGGTATTTGTAGGTTTGTGGATTCATATCAAGATCTTTTACCTTGTTCCATTGATCTACCTGTCTGTTTTTATGCCAATACCAAGCTGTTTTTATTACTATATCTCTATAGTAGATTTTGAAGTCAGGGATGATGATGCCTCAGGAAGTTGCTTTATTGTACAGGATTGTTTTAGCTATTCCGGGTTTTACATATTTCCAGAAGAACTTGGTTATTGTTTTTTCAATGTCTATGAAGACTTGTGTTGGGATTTTGATGGAGATTGCATTGAAACTGTAGATTGCTTTTGGTAGGATTGCTACTGTTATTATGTTCAATGTACCTATTCAAGAGCATGGGATATCTTTCCATTTTCTGATATCCTCTTCAATTTTCTTTAGGGACTTAAAGTTCTTGTCATATGGGTCTTTCGCTTGTTTGGTTTGTGTTACCCCAAGATATCTTTTATTTGTGGCTACTGTAAAGGGTGATGCCTTTCTTATTTCTCTCACAACACTTTTATCATTAGTATACAGGACTACTTGTACAGGAGGGATTACAAATTGCTGAATGTGTTTGACAGCAGGAGTTCCCTTGTACTGTTTTGGGGGTCACTTACGTGTCCTTACTTATCTTCTGTGAATAGCGATTCTTTGACATTTTCCTCTCCAATTTTTATCCCATTGATCTCTTTTTGTTTGCTAATTGCTCTAGCTAGAACTTAAGTACTATATTGAATATGTAGGGAGAGAGTGTCTTGTACCTGATGTTATAGAAACCACATTGAGTTTCTCTCCATTTAGTTTGATGTTGACTGTTGGCTTGCTGTCTATTGCTTTTATTGTGTTTAGGTATGTTTCTATTATCCTGACCTCTCCAAGACCTTTATTATGAATGGGTATTGGATATTGTTGAAGGTTTTTTTCAGCATATGATGAGATGATGCTGTTGTTTTTCTTCTTTCAGATTGTTTATGAGGGGCATTACATTGACAAATTCCCCCACGTTGATCCAATCCTCCATCTCTGGGAAGAAGATTACTTGGTCATTTTGGAAGATTTTTTATTGTGTTCTTGGATTCTGTTTTCCAGTCTTTGGGTATTTTTGTATCAAAGTTAATAAGGGAGATTGTTCTATAGTTCTATTTCTTTGTTGCATCTTTATGTGGTTTGGGTATCTGGGTTAGTATAGTCTCAGAAAAGGAGTTTGACAATGTTCCTTTGATTTCTCTTGTATGGAACAATTTGCGAAGTATTTGAGTTAGCTCCTCTTTGAAATGTTGATAAAATCCTTCCCTGAAACCATCTGATCCTGGGTATTTTTTTCTTTTTTTCTGGTTAGCAGACTTTTAATGACTTCTTCTATTTCCTTAAGGATTATAGGTCTATTTAAATTGTCTATTTGGTCTTGATTTAATTTTGATATGTAAAACCTCTCCAGAAAACTGAGTGTTTCTTTTATATTTTCCAATTTTGTGGAGTATAGGTTTTTAAAGTCTGATCTGATAACTCTCTTGATTTTCTCAGTGTCCTCCTTTTTATTTCATATTTTGTTAATTTGAGTATTCTTTCTCTGGATCTTGGTTAGTTTGCATAAAGGTTTGTCTATCTTCTTGGTTTCCTCACAGAATGAATTCTGTTTTATTGATTATTCCTATTATTCTCTTTGTTTCTAGTTTATTGAGTTCAACCCTCAATTTGGTTATTTCCTGTCTTCTACTCTATCTGAGTGAGTT